ACCCTTTGTGTGTCTCTCTGGCAAGATATTCTACTCCTGAATCAGCTGGGTGGGTCTTGCCTCTAGCCTCTTTGCAGGGAGTTCTGCTGAAGGGTTCCATGCTGGGCCTGCAGCCTGGGTTGAATGAGGATCCAGCAGGCCCCAGGTGGTCTCACTCACTCGCCGGGCCTGTGCTCTGAGTCTGTCCAGGATCTCGCCAGGCCCTGGGTCATCTCACTCACTCGCTGGGCCTGCGCTCTGTGTCTATTCAGGATCCCTCAGCCCTCGGTCTCTCACTCACTCGGAAAGGTTTATTTAGCTCATGGTTTGTGGAGATTTCAGTCTGTAATCAGCTAGCTCCAAGACAGACTGGCATAGGGGCAAAAGTTCAAGGCAGCAGAAGACTGAAAAAGCAACAAGAACAAAGGGAAGATCAAGCCTCTTTTCCTCCCTTATACTGTAGGCAGGGTACCCATCCTAGGATGGGTGTAGCACTCACCCAGTATCTGTGCCATCCTCTTGCACAGGATGAGAATATTTACAAAGAAAGGACCCTGGCCCCCCTGCTGAGTCAATTAATTAAACTTCTAAACTTCTCAAGTTAACACAATATATCAACCATTACAATAAGCATGCAGCACTACATCTGGCTTAGAAAAGAAATTTTCTAATGACTGCAAAGATCAAACAAGGTACCTAGGCCTTTACTTTTCAACATAACCTAGTATCTTACACCTAGAGAAAATTGCTGCCTATACGTTGGTGCTCTCCCTCCAGATAGCTCTATGAATAGAAAGATTTGTTCTAATAGTGTTTGGACAGGATATCATGTCTGCATCTTGTACTATGAATAACCACTATGAAGACAACAATATGCAATGTATTCATCATTGAAACTGTCTAATTGGTTTTGAAACTGTCTCATTTCTATCTGTTTCTCAATAAAGTTATTAAAAAATAAGAGAAAAAACAAAGTGGTAGTCATCAACTGGAGCTGGAGTCTGGAAGTCATTACTTCAATAGTAGGAAGGGGTAGTAGTGTGTGGAATTCAATTCCTCCTAGAACATTTACCTTCTTCCATGGGTTCTTCTAAAGCAAATGTTATTGATACATTATTTTTGGTCCTTGATCTTATACTCCTTTTCTGTACAGAAATAAGAGGGCAACATGGGGCAGGATCAGGTGGCATTCAAGAGTTCAAGGATTTGTACCTGGAAAATAGGACTTAAGGAACATTTACCTATGGGGTAACTTTAGGGGCCTATCTTCCATTGAGTGTTGTACTAAATGTCATCTTTTTCCAAAGTGCTATCTTGTCCCCTGGACATTCCCAGCCTGCTAGAGAAGCTGAGGAAGTTTGAAAGGACAAAGCAGTAATAGGGAAAAACACATTTTAAGCTGCCTTATCTAATAAAGCTATTACTCCATTCCTGCAAGTGCCACTGGGCAATGAAGGTGACAATGGATTAAGAAACCAATTCTTTTGCTGCTTAAAATCTTGATCAACTCTTTTTTTTATTTTCAGTTCCTATTTCTGTCCTATCATTTCTTATTAGTGGGAGAATTAGAGAAGTGGAGAGTGAGAGTATGGAGTAGCTGTATGACATTCATCCCCAGAATAATACCAACAGGCTTCTTTAGGGGCTCATGTTCCTTTTCTCCTCCACAATAGCAAGTCATAGAACAGGAGCCCTACTTTGGAGAAATGTTAACACTGACAGGTTTGTTTTACTTTTTTTTTTTTTTTTTTTTTTTTGTATTTTAGGGAAGGGTCTACAAGGTGTTCAGGGACTTACTACTAGATCAGATTCATAGTGATCCACCTGATTACAGCCTCCCAAGAGCTGGTATTACAGGCACACGCCACCATACCCAGTCTCAATTGCTGTCTCAGCACAAGGTTTGTTTTACTTAAGGCAACTCATCCAAATGATGTCACTCCAGTTGTGAGAGGATTAGGGGTGTATCTAACAATGTTGGAGTGTTGGTGGGCACTGCTCTAGCCACACACTGTTCATTTGATTTTGAAAGGCTTGCTCAGTGTTACTTAGAATACAAGGGTCTTTCAGAACTGCCTGTTCAGTTTGAAGATATACTCCTGCTTCCATCTTTGTCATTAAGTATAATGGAGCTGACTATGTACCTGACTGATAAGCATCCTTCTCTGAAGACTCTGATACTCTTGGAGGTTGGTAAGCTCAAAGTGGGGGGACACTGTTAACACAATTACTCATATTTATTCCCAATGACAGCTAATAGCCAGTGTATTCCATTAATTATGGAATGATGCTTCCTCTTTTGGAGGTCTTTCATGGTTGAATGTGGGTCGTGACAAAAAAAATAGAGAGGGCGGGTGATGTAGCTCAGTGGGCTAAGCATGTGCTTTGCCAAGCACAAGCACCAGGGTTCAATCCCCAGTCCTGCATGCCATACCAGTCCCATGCATTGGGCACACTGAGCTGGTGAAAGAGTCAGGACATGGTGGTGCACATGGTAATCCCAGCACTGGGGAGATGGAAAAAAAGGAGGATCACTATGAGTCTGAGCTGCATAGTGAGACTCTGTACCAAATACATAAAATGAAAAAAAAAGTTATGTGAAATAAAAATGGAGAAAAGGCCTCAGACATGCAGCCTGGGCCTCTAGGGCCCAAGGGCTCACTCATTCTCATCTACATAGCACTTAAATAAGTTATGCTGTATAAGGAGAAGATACAGATTCCATAGGAAGCACTCAGCTCTCACATCTGAGGCAGTTTATTTCATTTATGAAAGACGCTAAATTCAAAGTTGTTGGAGTATCTTTGTTGTGTGACTTTGAGTCAGTCACTTAAGAGTTTCTACTTCTTAGGTTTCTTACAATAAAATGAGGATATTAAAACTACGAATCTCACAGGGCTGTTCTGAGGTCTCAGTATATATTACTACCACCACAGTAGAAAGCACTGTAGATATTGCTTGGCAGAAAGGGACTTTGCTGCAAACCCATCATGTGGGGCTGGTGATGGAATGAGCCAGGGCTACATCAGCTGTGCTCTAGAGAAGTGGTGGTGAATTTGTTGCATGCATACCACAATGGGCTGTTTGTATCATTGAAAGTGTTAAAAGATTCCCCTTCACTGCCCTACAGAGAGAGGAAAGGAAAGGGTTGAACATACCATGTGGACATTCTCACACACACACAAAAGAAATAAATATTTGATAATATCACAAGATAAGAAGACATTCTTCTTGTCTTATTTCTTTGCCATGCTGAAACAGTCCATAGAAGGGAGAGGAAAGAAGAGAGAAAGAGTGAAACTGAAATAGAGGCTAAGGGCAACAGAAATGATTCTGGTACAGCTGCTATCCATCCGAGAATTAGGTTTAAAGTCATGCCAAATGAGGGGAGCTAGAGTCTTTAACCCAACTCTTAATGAAGAAAGAATAATAGAAATTATTTGACTCCATGATAATCTGTCAAGTTCATTTCTCATTTTCCCTGCTTCATGCCATCAAATTTTAATTGGAGTCACTAGCTGGGATCTGAATAGATTTGGGGTCGTTACACTTTTCCCCAAACTCTGCTTTTGCTCTTGTTGGGATTGCTAATAAGGAATAAAAAAGGGGTTGAGGGGGGGTGAGGATTGACAGATCACTTGAATTATAGCCCTGAAATACGTGCCAGTAACATAACTCTTGAGCAATCTGCTAAGGGAGGGGGCATTGTTATTGATTATACAAAATAGGGGTTGTTCTCTGCCCCTGTGAAGTATCACAATCAGAGAAAGACCAGACAACATAAGAGGAAAATTCAGGAAAATACTCTTCACACAGAATTCAGGGTTGAGTGCAGGCAATTCAGATATCACTTTCCATCTTCCTTTGATATTTAGCTTCAGAATTCCTTTTGTGCAATTAGGTAGCATGTCCCACATGATGGTGTGTGTTATAAAGCAGCTCTTAAACAGTCCCCAGAAGACTGGACCACTCCATCTCTCTGAGTTAAAGAGAAGAGGAGGTGTATCTGGCTGTGACAAAGGACAACCCATCATCTCTATATTTCTGTTAGGGTATAAACTTGAAAGTGGAAATAGGACTCAAAAATAGAATCTTACTGTAAATGCACCTTACAGATGGGTTTCCCTGCAGCTTCTTTTTAAAATCAATCAGGCATGTTGCCAGGCATAGTGGCACATGTCAGTAATCTTAACACTTGAAAGGTTGAGACAGGAGGATCATCATGAGTTTGAGGCCAGTCTGGGCTACACAATGGATTTAAGGCCACCCTCAACTATGCTGCGAGACTCTGTCCAGAAAAAAAGAGGGCCTGTGTCTGAGCACAGTAGCTTAGCCATTTTTCTGAGCCCTGTGGGTCTCTCTAGTCAGGTTATAGAGGGACACATGATACTCGTCTAGCAGCAGTACAATCTGTTCTGATTTCCCACCATTCTGTATCTTGCTGGAAAGTACTACACCTAAGGGCAGAGGAGTGAGGCTGCCATAGATCAGGAAAATCTAGTTAGATCAAACAGTTCATAGAACCTTGAATGTAGCCTGCTCTCAGAAATCCTACCTAGGTATACTGCCACCCTGATCATACTCATTAGTACATCTTTCTAAGCCATTACTACATCTTGTGGACCCTCTTGGCTCAGTAACCTGAAGCAAGCACACCCTGCTCCTAGGATAGAAAACAATCTTCTAACTGGTCAGACTATCTCCTAGTACTCTTACTTAGCTGGTGGTCACAATGTCCCTGGTTTTCCCCCAGCCTCTCTCTCTCCCTTGCTCCGCCTGTCTCCCTTGCTCTGCCTGGCTCCAATCTATATACATGCTGTTATCTCTCTTACTGAGCTTTCACAACATATCAGTCTTTTGGCTTAGATTAGTGTTGGCAAAGCTATTGCACATGTGCCATAACCAGCTGTTTGGTATCAATGAAAGTTCTGAAAGGTTTGCTATCACTGTCTTAGAACATTCTTCCACTTTTCTGTGCTTCCTTCATGACTATTTTTTTAAATGTCAGATCTTTTCATTCTAGAAAGCTGTTCCTCAAGGCATCATCCCCAGTCTAGATAAGGTGTTTCTCTTCTGGAACTTACCATTTCCATAAACACACAGTATCTATCACGACATTCTAAACTTGATGATTTACTTACCTGAGTTATGAATTGTAAAAGAAAAGGGGCTCATTTAATTTTATTCACCATCTTATTCATGATGCTGAGCACACTGGTTGGCACATAGGTATTCAATAAACAGTTATTGGATGAATTTTATAAATGAATGAATGAATAATGTCTTTATTTTCCACCCTTTCTTCAAGGCCCATCTCAAGGATCACTTTCTTTAGGAAGCTATCTCTGATCTTTTCTCCCTCTCTGTATTTCTTTGTCTCTCCTTGTCTGTGTCTGTCTTTCTCTGTCTCTGTCTATCCATCTATCTATCTATCTATCTATCTATCTATCTATCTATCTCTGTTTCCCTCTTTCTTACAACTCTTTCCCTCCCCTCCATTGTCCTCTGTCCCCTCCCCTCCTCTCCTCTCCTCTCTTCTCCTCTTCATTTCTCTATCCCTGATAGAATGAGTATTTCATAAATCATGGTCTGGAGATCATCTGGTTAAAAATTAACTGCTACCCTGTGCTGAATAACTCAGAACTTATATTCTGGTAACCCAAATATTTATATGTAACCAATTTCTATAGTTACCAAAATCCCCAGGTAATTCTGCATTTTTTTAATTTTATTTTGGTGGAACTGGAAATTGAACTCAGACCCTTGTGCTTGCCAGGCAAGTGCTTATTCTACTGAGCCATCTCCCCAACCCCCTTTGCATTTTAAAGCTTGATAATTACTGTTCTAAAATGCCATGAAACACTCACCTGGTTGTGCTTCAGCATCATCTGGAGAACATGCTAACATGCAGATTCCATGGGCCCTTCCCAGACCAAGATATCTGAGTCTCTGCTAACTGGTCAGGAGACTTGAAGGCTCCCTAGATGAGACTGATCATCATCTCTTACTTTCATTCTTCTCCACAATCACTAGTGGAAGTTTCAAAACCAGTGGTGCTATGCCTCATTCTCTGGAGGTTTGATTTCATAGATCTGGAGTGGGGAATAAGCATCATGTTATTTTTGAAAACTTCCAAGTTGTTGAAATATGTAACTAGGTTGAGAGGTGCTAGCCAAAATGTCCTAACTTAAGGGCACCTATTGTACACATGCTTGGGCTTCTTGCCCTGTTTGACCATGCCAGACAAAGAAGCTATAGTGAATGGTGTCATCAGTAATAATAGTTTGTGTGCCAAAATATTCTGTAGCTGGCAGCTTCCAATGTTCACACAAGTTATTACTTCTAGACTGCAATTTCCTTCTCAAAGAAATAGTTATCCTTTAAAACATTTTTCAGGTGCAGAGAACGCAAGCTATTTGAATTCCTTGTATACAGAAACACACTAGGTTGACTCTGGTGGTCCAGCATGAACAGAGGATGCTGAGACATGTTGCAGAATGTGACATTATGCCCATGAAAATCTCCTCTGGGAATAAAGGAAGTTCTATAAGTCAAAGCATTTATAAATCATTTCCAAGTTATTCATGCAGCAATTGCAAATTATCAATAGTAAAATAGACTTTGGACACTGTCTCCTAGTAATTGGAATGGAAAAGAGACACTATTATTGTACACTCATAACATGAATAATTGCAAATGAGTGCTTCCTAAAGCTAGCTGACTATCAGAAATACCCCAGGTTTTTTTTGGGGGGTCCTGCTTTCCAATATGAAGAAAAAAAAGAAGAAATAATGGTCATGCTAAAAAGGGCCACAGTCATGTGCAGTTTATTTGCTGCACGAACTGCGCCAAGTACATACCCAAGGATAAGGCCATTAAGAAGTTTGTCATTCGGAACATAGTGGAGGCTGCCACCATCAGGGACATTTTCAAAGCAAGTGTCTTTGATGGTTGTGTGCTTCCCAAGCTGTATGTGAATCTACATTACTGTGTGAGGTGTGCCATTCATAGCAAAGTGATCAGAAATTGATCTCCTGAAGCCCGCAAGGACTGAACTCCTTCACCCTGATTTAGAACTGCTGGTGCTGGCCCACGACCTCCACCAAAGCCCATGTAAGGGGAGCTGGGTCTTAGTGGACTGAAGAAAACTCTCTTGAGAAAGAAATAATAAATTTAATGTTATACTTTATCCAGCATGTTGAGTACACCTGCCAGAGGTGGACTGGGTTAATTCTACCTATACAAGTTTAAGTTGTCACTCTAAAAATGAAGAAAGAGGAATACACTGGGGAAAAATGAAATACCCCAGTAAGTCTTAAAATACAGATTCCAAGGCCTCACTCATACTGAATGAGGATAGGCAAGGCTAAGTTGTCACTCTAGGAAATCATTTTCATATCTGTCAGCAATCCTGCGATTTATTCTGCTTCCCTAACCTTCCTGCTCTGCTTTCTTACCATTTCTTCCAGCCAGAGAAATAGGAAAGGCAAGGAGTCAAGTTTGGTGCCCCTAAGAAGGCTGTGTGAGGCTGAACTTTAGCTGACATGTACTTGGGGCTGTATTTGGGGCAGGGGAAGAATTTGTAAAGCAGCAACATGTAGTCTCATGAGAATAGGTGACTGCTGGTGGAATAATTCCATGAATATTTGCTGAACACGTGCCTGAAGATTCTAAAATTCAGAAGCTAAATACACAAAAACAAAAAGATCCATTACTTCTCCTCAAGTAACTCACAGTCTAGGGTTGTGTTGGTGAACCTATGGCAAACATGCCACAGTGGGCTGCTTGTATCATAAAAGACGCTTTAAAGGATGGACTTGCAATTGCCCATGGATGGCTGGACACATGCAGGCTGAGGAAAGTATGGAGTAGAGTGAGAGCAAAGAAGGAGGCATTGGGAATTAGGGGAGGCTCTCCTGTGGTATGATAGAAGGGATGAAATGCTAGGTAGTGAGACAGCAGCTACTAAAAGTGTAACCATGTGAGCTGGAAGAGTGGTCGGAGAGAAATGCCAAAGTATTTGTTTTGGTATATCAGAGGACATAAGCAAGAAACATGAGAAATGAAACTGAAGGAGTAAGAGGCAAGATCATGCAAGGTCTTGTGTCCTCCTAAGGAGCAATAATTTTATTTTGAATGCAATGAGAGGCACTGAACAGATTTAAGTAGAAAAATGTTACAATCAAATTTGTGCATAAATCTTTCTGGTAACTGAGAGGCAACTGGAGATGGCAAGATCAGCCAGATGGCTGCTGCTATACCTCAGAGAAATTGAGAGGGCTTCAAGTAGGCTACGGACACAGGAGTCAGGTGAGCCCTCCCTGTACTGTACTTTTCTAATGAATGCTGGGCTATATAAAATTTAGCCATGTCATTTCAACCCTTTACTTATTTTGAAATACATATGTAGTGTGTCTTATGCCAGTCAAGGCACTTGCCTCATTAATTGTTTAGTAGTTAGCTGAGTGTTCACAACCAGTATAGTGCTTCCTGAAGTGCTGCATAACTGCTTCTTGAAATGTTAAGTTGTTAAACTGGAGATGTAGCATTAAATTTGTATATCTCTGAACTGACAGAGTTTCTCAAGCTCCAACACTCTATATTAGCTGTCACAATGAGTTTCATATTGTGAAACCTTTTTTTATCACTCCACTTCTGTCTCTCTTATCTAGACCAAATTTCATGTTACTTAAGCTCTGGGGCTAGATACCATTTTAAACATGCTGTTCTTCATAATTGATTGCAATAATTTGCATAGTTTCATCTCATTTATTCTGATGCAGAGAGAACTTTCAATTAGGACATTCTATAAAACAAGCAGACAATAAACCTTACATAAACAGGCTGAGAGGAAGGAGAGAGAGAGAGAGAGAGAGAGAGAGAGAGAGAGAGAGAGAGACGAGAGAGAGACCTTAGAATTTGAGGCTCTGTCTGCAGTTATCTCCATAGTGTACCATAAAAGGCCCAGCCAAAGTAGTAGAAGGTGATGTGGAAGCCCCTCCCTG